TGCTATGGTTGCACCTGCTCTGAAAGAGATACAGAATGATTGGTTTGTTTTAGTTTAAAAAAGAGGAAGCTTATGACAGTTTTATGTAGGCAAGTTACTTGAAATAAAGCAGATGTAATGTGATGACTTCATTGCTATAACTGAGCTGGAATGAAAATTTAATATAGACAATAGGAGACAAGAAAAGGAACAGAAAACATCGGATTGAATAAAAATTAGTCAGAGCTTGCCATGCTACTCACTGACGAGAAGAGTTATATACATGAAACTGAAGACTTCAGTTYATCAGATGGCAAAAGCCAATCCCCATAGAAGATACTGGGTTGATGGTGATTGCCAGGATATTCTGTGTAAACTTGGCAAATTGGGCAGGTGAATGTCAACAGAAAAAACCAAGGCAATAAATACTGGAAAGGTTTTAAACCACTCATACATGCTCTGGTAGTAGCTGTGACACGAGTCTGAATTAGTTGTGATCTTTCAAGGGGACGATCTAGGCATCATCATAGGCAGCTTGATGGAGGCATCTGCTCACTGTGTAGTTGCAGTCAAGAAAGCGAATAAGATGTTAGGCTGTATTAAAGACAGAACAATACGGAAAAATATTACAACATCTATTTCTCTTACAGGTCCTTAATGAATATTTGCTGTTTTATCAGCACCTTAAAAAAAGTAATAATACAGGCAGGAAAGCAATTAGAGAATGGTAGAAGCAGCTCCTTGGAGCTGGAAAGACATAAGACTAAGGTAGTTAAGAGGGAAATAGATGAAAACCATCTTAAAAGCAATTCTCTTTCCCACTGTATAACAGGATACATACTTTAAAGTAATGCTAAGCCACCTACCAATATATGGACCTTAATATCACTCATTAACGTCATCATCGTGAATATTCAAAGAAGCCCCATCTTATTCTTCAGTACTTATTATTCAGCCAGTTAAATATTTCCTCTGAAGCAACTGCTACAGTTTGTTGAAGTTTAATAATTTTTGTCAGAGAACAGTCACTGCACATTGACAACTGTCTTAGAGGTGCTGCAATGACAAAAATATCAGAAGGTAACTGCTGGATCTCATGGCTGTTCAGTACCCACCAAGAGCTTTCATTTGCATGCAGGCCACCACCGTGTTCTCTGATTCTATTTGAGACCCCATTGTAAAAGCTGAGCAATGAASCTTGAAATCACCAGCAAAAGCAGACAAAGGCATATTCATAAGTTACTACTTCATGTTACTTTGGCTGCAGTTAACTGATAAAACAGGAGATAATAATAAATAGGGTAATTGCCTCTCTATTCCTTCCTCTTACATATCCTTCTGCTTACCCCACTCCATGGGCAACTATTTCCCTTTTGTTCATTCCCTTCCTCCATAGTTTGCCTTAATACCAGACTTCACAAGTTTTGAAGATTAGTCTCTCTCCCCATTTCCCTTGCATCTGCATGCCATTTCAGTTTAAATAAGGTTAAGAATAAAGAGCAAGAAAAAGGTGTTTACACATGGAGAGGAGAAGAAAAATACATTTCTATGACAAAATACCACTTCGTATCAGGAGTGAACACTTCTGGTTCACATAATTTGAACAAACTTTAAAACAGCCACATTATAAGAGATGGCTATCAACTGTGAGCAGGATTTTATTTCRGTCATGGGGTTTACAAAATATAGCAATATTGATTTTACTATGTTCCACATAAAAACAAAGAGCCTCATATTTATATGCCATTTGGGTTGCACAGATAATTGAAGAGTGGAAATACCAGTTAAGAGTGCTCGGCCTGAACTTCTTCTTACCCATACATACTAAAGTCTAATTACATAATACTTAAATAGGACGTATATTACATTCCATAGAAATAAGCCTTTGCCAAAGTAGTATTAAAATACTATAACATAAGCTAACGTAAAGATCTTTCAATAAAGACTTTTAGTCCTCTTTAGAACCTTCCATCAGCCCCAGCCCTTRACAAAGAACAGCTTTGGCCTCACAACACCCCTGTGAGGTAGGTTGTTGGTTTTTTTTGGTACAGCTGGGGAAACSGAGGCAAAGTGAAACTAAATTACTTGAACATAGCAGCTCAGTAGAAAACCAAGGCCAAATCCCACTCTTTTGGTCCCATGCTTCCTAATGCTCTTGCTACAAAACAGGTTTGGCTTCTTTTCAGTGCATGCAGTTGTTTTAGATGATACTTTTCATTCCAATATTCAGACACACTACTTTTCCTGGTGACTCATTAATATGTGATATGTTCTTTGTATTCTGGCTAAGCAGAACTTCACTGAAGTGAACACTGAACTTAATTAACCTTGCTGTATCAACACAATACTCTGAGCAACTGAAAATAAACCCCTGATGTATGTACCTTTTAGAAGATACTTCACAAAGTCTTCGTAGCTATTTGAAACAATGTTTCAGCCATGTTTTATCATGCAGAAGTAAAAAAAAAAAAAATCCTAAATACACAAGTTATTTCCTAAGAGAACATTAAACCATCTTGAAATTTGTCCTCAGTTCTCTCTTTAGGCAACAGGTTGGACAGCTTCGTATCACTACAAAATTCTACCTTCTCTCTGGACAAGTTTTCCCAATTCTTTGAAAGGAAGAAATAAAATGGGTTGCCTTCCCCAAGTACTGAACTTTAAACAGTTTTGCTAATTTAAAGTCAGATCTGTCACTTATGCAATCAGTGCCTACCTACACAGCATTTGTACTATCCAACATCTTACACTCCACTCCCTGCCTCAGGCTATGCTCTTAATGCTATCATTTAGAAAACAGCGCTSCTAATCCCTCTCTTCTTACAGCACCTATTTTATTTGTTTTTATTTGCATCATTTCCACTCTCCCCTGTTTATTTATCTTCCTTCCTGTTCTATTTTACTTCAAACAGAAAATGGCAAAACTATACGTGATGCTTAAGAAGCCAGAGTTCAGATACACAACAGTTAAGACTCAGTTGTTTTCTGCTGTCATTTCTTCCTCCATGTGCTAGAGCTTGCTGGTTCTCACATTAACCTCAATACAGACAAGCTGTCTTTTAAACTTTTTCTGGAGAGTTAATCTGCAAATATATATCAGATTTTCTCCCCTTTGTACATACCTAATTCATATATCAGAAGAATAACATATTATTTTCTTAAACTGCCAAAGAAAAGCCCTTATTTACCATTAAAAACAATTTTTAACATTAAAAGCTGAAAACAGACAATTTGGGAACTAAATTGCAGTCAGGCAACAAAACCTGGACTGTAGTTGTTCATAAAGATTTTACAGTACTTAAGGTGGTATATTTTTACAGTACTTAATGTGGTATAATTGAGTTTCTTGGGCCAATGACATGTCCATTGCTGGCCATGTCAATACTGGAAAGAATATTACTAGCTTGTAAATAAGCAACCTTGTTTAAGCACATGAAGCCCTAATAATCCCTGTTCCATTTAAATTAGGGTATTTGACAGAAAACCACAAGCAAGTTTAAAACTGCTCAAGCTGGCAGAAATTCGAAAGACTAAAAGCTACAACTATTTTGCAAAAGSTCAGATAAGCAAACTCCAAGATGTGCAGCCCAATCAAATTTATATTGTGTTTACTTGACCTGAACAGCACAGGGATCTCAGCCACGGTGTGGTGGAAGTTTCCAAGAGCTGACAGATGCAGTCAAATACCAAAGGCCCTATTTCCTGTGATGTCAGGCCTCTAGCACAACTTGTACCATTAAAAATAAATCTATTTCTAAGTTACTGTGGACATGACTGGTAMAACTAGCTATGAATACAAAACTGAAATAACAGGAGGCAGTCACTTTTAGTTGTCAACTCCTCTTCATTTGTGAATAAGGTTAAACATGACACAGCTAAACCAGGAGATGGCGAGGGGCCAATCTCCTGTATTTACCATCAGAACAAGTAAATACAGATTCCAGATACCTAACATAGGCATTAAGTCCATCTTTATTAAAATTACCTATTTTTTAGTATTTTACTTCCTTAAATACAGACTCTATCATTGAAAAAGGCAAATCCAAACTGTTCTTTCCTCAGTAAGCTCTGGACATTTCAGTGTTCTACTATCAAGTTGGTAACTTTATGGCTGTGTTTTATTGTGAGCCAGAGAAATTAAAACAGAACCTTTTAAATTAGGAACTAACAAATAACCCACCATAAAARCATGTCACAGGCCAGGGAGTCCCTGAAGCGGCACACAACTGTATTATACTGACTGGCATCAAGAATCTCATTTCTACAACTGACAACCCTTCATTTATGGGAATAAGTCTTCAACGAGCATTTTGAAGGAATGAAAAGGACATTCTTAGCATGCCTTGAATGAATKCAACAACAAACCAGATAAAGCTGGACTTCAGAGTCTCAAAAGCATACTGAGGGTCCACAGTGGACTGACTTTTCTGAATTTCAGGCATGCAGAACAATTACTTGGTACAAGTAATCAAAACTGGCATTTTGATAGTTGCTGGCAGCTATATTTAACACAAGAAACACTTCTTTAAAAACAGTTTAACATTCAGTACTATGGAAATCTGCTGCATTTCTGATTTTTCTTTATGCCTCCAGAAAGAAAYGGAATGATATGCTTGAGAGTAGCCCCCAAAGTAACACCTTTAGCTCTTAGTASCTGATGGGCTCCAGTGACAGCAGCCACCCAGAGGTGGGGTTTTTCTTCCCCATTCTTTAATTCAGCAGTGGTACTTTCAAATGAAAAGCAGATCAAAGCTTCATTCATACTCATTTCACAATCTCAACCCAGTCCTACATGGTGGGAGTAAGAAGACACTGTGCCAAGCAGCAAACTAAACTTCTGTGTAAACAGAAGTTTTTATTAATATGCACTCCTATAAACTCTGAAATAGAGCCCACCTAACCACAAGGACAGCTGGCCCGCTCCGTGGCCTATCCCTTAAGAGATCCAAATGCTCTGTTTCCTCTGCTTTTGTRTGGTCATGAGCTCAACCTAAAACGTAAAGACTCACTTGACTCCAGAATCCATGTATATTTCCATTTTATTTGATTTGAAACTTTTACAGGGTTTTCTTGAACTGCCAGAATTCATGCCCAAAAACCTCAAATAAAGGTGGTACAATGGACAGTCTCATCTACCCTTCACACAGGAGACTAGAATTCTATTCATGTCCTTTAGCAATCTCCGTCTCTTTAGAGCATCAGGAAAAGCATTTTAAGACTTCACATCTCTACCCCATCAAGTGACGTGTCCATTTATCATGAATYCCACAAAAATTGTGACAACAGTTTTGCTGGCAACAATGGATTTTCAAGGAAGATACATGGCTCAGAGTCCAAGGTATTGGTATCAGTCTTTCAGYGGGGTTTTGTTTCCAAATGAAGTCTCCAACTTTAGGAATAGTCTCTTGAGCCCTCTCTTTAATAGCAGCTTCTAGCAGAATTTTTATAGACAGTTAACTCTGCAAGGGCAAGGCCAGTTTTAGTCTGTGCACAAAAGAACCAGGTGAAACCCCAGCCCCACTGAAGCCAACAGCAAAATCTGCATTGRCCTCAGASAAGTAAATTTAAAGCAAGTCAGCAGTTAGTTAAAGGGAACCCAACTGGGTGATTCCTGAACTATCCTTATCTTCTGCACATACACAGTACTCCCACACATGTAAGCAAGCTTGGCTTTGTTCCCTTGTTTTTCTTGCCATTGGCAACTCCTATGGATGTTGGGTCTATTTTTTGGCATTTATTCTGAGAAACCTCAACACTGGAGCACACCACTATTGTACTTCATTTTGCTTCTGGTGTAAAAATTCAGAGAAGAGAAAAAGTTACAGCAGAACACTTCTGGTACTTGACAGGTTTGGTTCACTGAAACAGTTACAAGCACTGTCCTATATTCCTAGTGTACCAATGCCATTTTGCCTACTTCCACTAGTAAGTCACTGCCTTCCATCATTACTAAACTTTCTGACTGAGAATAAACACCATTTATGAGTTATACTTGGAGGWTTGCTGCCTCAGAGAGCTGCATGCTTCACAGAAGTAGCCAAACAAATGAGGCTTACCAGCTTTAGTTCTCTCTCTGCACATTAAATTMTTTTGTTTATCAAGTGAGCATCACTCCTCAACAAACAAGTAATTGTTTTTGACAGAAGATAGTTTTTATCTAGTATCACTACTGCCCCATATCCCATTTTTAAAGGATAAATTCTGAAGACTGCAGTTGGAGTCTGGATACCTGTGTCAAATCAAAACTCTAAGTCTTAGTGCTTTAGGGTGAGAAAGACAAACTTCATGACAAAACCCAAAATAAACCCTATTTCATTACAACATCTTATTGTTTAARTATACTGCAGATCGACATCAGAAGCCAGGCAGGCTTTTTTTTGGTGAATAATAGAAAAAAATGCTTAAACAGACAACTTTAAAAATGGCTAATGCAAACAAACCATTCAAACCCATCACTCCTCAAATCTGATACTGAACTGAGTTTTAATTTGTTTTGCAATTACTTTYGTACAGCACTCTAGAAAGGTAAACAAACTACAGCTCTGTTGTAGTTGGATAGTATGAGTGGTATGGGACGCTCCAGAAGTCTCTAGTAGGCTATGGCTACACATGACAGGATTCCTCAGAAGGGGAACGTACAGGTTTGTCATTAAGGTCACTTAAATCTTTGTTATAGCAAATTGGAACCAGATGGCTGACTTCTGCAGGATTTCTGACAGGAATCCAGTAGAGCTGGTTTCAAGTTTCAGATGGCCACTAAAACAGCTGTAACCTTCTCTTCCAGAAGTTGTGATCCACATGGTGTCCACAATGAGTGCATCAAGTCTGAGGTAGTCAACCTTTACGAAGGCTCAGTATCTGAACATAAAAAGATTTTGAAATGACCACTGGCTGTAGGTATCTTTCTGAGCAATTAAAGAACACTGATGACTCTTGTTCAATCATTTACATTAATCTGCCCCATATCCAATGGAGAAGTTGCAACATATTATGCTTCCATAGTGCAGGAGAACCAATCACTTACGTCAAAGTAGTCTGCACTCGATGCAGTAGATCCAGAAGAAATAAGGTGGCATGTTCATCATAGCTGTTAGCTGTAGTTTAGTTACCTTAGTAGAAGGGTTACCAAAAAAGCATTCCTTAATTGTAATGTGTGTGCAGCTCTACTGATCCCCAAGCACAGCATACTGGTTGTCTAGCTGAAGTTTAAGTGCCTGGTTTTTTGAGACCTCATCCCTACCTCTAGTTTTGTATTTTACTACTTCAAAGCTCTTCTCCATTTCTTTATCCCTATGGGAAAATAAATGTAATCAGTAAATATCTTATCACTAACTTGTGCATTGTGAATATCTAGTCCATTTCCACCCCATCCCAACCAAAACATTATGAACACAGAAAAAATAAAAATATCTAGAGTTTAACAGAACATGTAAAAATTCCCAAGCAARTCTTGTAAAACCTTATCTCCAAAATACGTTTAAATTTTCAATGTCAGTATTAACACTGTCAAGTAAATTTAAGTGTGTTTATGAAAAACAGGTTCTAGAAAGCAGAAGTTATTTTCTAGAACATTCATTCAGACTTTCATCTTGGTTCAATTTGCACCGTTCAAACCATAAAGCATCAATGACAACATGTCTCCTTTAACACACCAAAAAATACCCAGAGGAAACAAAGCTTCTCCTAAGCTGCATTAAACAGTAATATAGCAAGCGGGGGGGGGGGAAAGCCAGTAACAAGAAACACCCAAAATCCCCCAAGTGAATTAGGTATTGGCCTAGCCATCTCTTCTACTTGGAATAAGGTTATGGAAAGATCAGGATTCAAAAAACACGGTGAGACTCAAGTCTTCAGCACCACATAACACAAAACAAATCAGCAAAACTGGGGGAACTTGTTAATTGTAAATCACAGCTCAGACAGCAAGTGTATTGATTTGTATTTGTATTAAACCCCACTCCTCTACCTAAACCACCTTCACATCTCTAACAAGGCCATGTGCTCAGGACTTCATCTGTCTGCTGAAGGCAGTAACACAGAGCCTCACCATGGCTAGTGTATCAAGGAACCAGATGCTGTCAACAGCAGATATACTCAGGGAAATCCTTCAGCCATGAAAGATAACATAACTGGCAGTCTTGTTAGGCTACATCCTCTGAAAGTTATTTCATGGGAACAGAGTTGGACATTTAAGACCTCTTTCCTCTATGGAAAGATTCAGGCTTAAGCTCCAAGCCAAAATAAGAACTCAGAGAAGCTGTTAGAAATGTCTCTCAGGAATCARTGGAATGCACTTACTTTCGACTGTCTACGAGCTTGGCGGTGGACTGCAGTGAGGGGAACTGCGTGTCACTGTAGATCTCTGGTGGTCCTTGCTGTGCTCTCCGTGGCCGCCCGCTCTCCCTGGCACCGGGCGGCCGGTACACACCACCAGTCTGCACTGGTTCTGGAGTTTCTGTAACTAGGCACAACAACAACATTCACACATGAGAATAAGTGCATTCAGAGCTGAAAAAAGCCCAAAACAACCAACAGACAAACCAAACTCCACAAATTAAAAATTAAAAGAAACTTACAAGTATGTTTTTCTACTTTTTAAGCTTTGAAAGCAAATATTTTAGACAACTCAGAAAATCATGTGTCACCTAATTTAACCTACACTCAGTAAAATTGWAAGGTGGCTCCAGTGTATTGCCTCACAAAATTTAGGGAATCAAAACTATTAATGAGGACTTCAAGTTTCTCAATTGCAATTTATTAACAGCAATTTAAAACATATTTAAAACAGATTTAAGCACATAATTATATGGTTGCCAAATCTTATTTAAARCACTTCTCCAAATGCAGAGGTAACYATCTAAATAGTTTGCATTTAAGGTAAAAACCTAAGATGCARTAACACCAATTAGCTTCACCTCCTTGCCTGTACAAACAAGAAAGAACACAGCAGGCTATTTTTCAAAGAATTTCTCAGTGGAAAAGAATATTCTGAACTAAGAGGATAACTAARTAGTTTATTTCCACTGATGTTAATAAACTGTATTTAATTAAAAAAAACTAAAGTCCTATCCTAGTTTAAGAATCAATTTTGCAATGTCATGTTTTCAGTACTCTAGAACTGATTTGAAAAGTGTAACTAACTGCCACAATAGATCAGATACTGGCTGAACATCCACTGAAGTGTTAAAGCACTATTTTTAGATCAAAAGSAATGCTTCCAACAGGTATTTACCAACTGCAAAGCAGAGGGATCTCCTGCAAAGACAGAAAGCTTCCCCCTGTCCCTTTGAAGCTGGAAATGAAAAAAAAGCCCTTCCACTTCTATTTTAAAGTATCTGACAGATACTTTAATTTCAATTCAGTTCCTCAGATCCCTTCAAAGGAAGATTTCCTTGATGGCTAGCATGCCAAACAAGCCATTAGTATATTAGAGGGTGCCTGAACAGGAACTGTTCCTCGAGCTCTACCCACTGAGCGGCTTAATTTAACCTGATAGAAAAAACCAACAAGTCTGAATTAAATTTACCAATTGGTTCAACGACAGGGGCTGGTGCAGGAGCTGACTTGTTCCAAGGACCAGATGATCTGTCTACACCACCACCAGCAGTTTCTTCCCAATTGTCACCGGGTTCTTCTCTTTTTTCACTTTCATCATCTTCTTTTTCACTGTCAGAGAGAAACGAGTAGCACCTTACAAACAGAGGCTTAAGATTTGCCAGAGATTGCACAATCCTCCTAAGACARGAATTCATGGCTGCTGTGCTGAAAATACTAAATAAAACTAGACTACATTAGTCCTGTAATCACTGTACTAGCAATTCCATCTGAACAATTTCTGACATRCTGCTACATAACTTGGCAACTGAGAAGGTAAAAACCTCCCAAAATACATAAAAGACAAATTCAAGTTAAACTAAGTGATGACAGAAATTGGTATCTTACTTTGAGCATAAAGGCTTCTTTCTTGCTAAGACAGCCATGCATTTGGAAGGGATGAGAAGACAAAGCAGGAAAAATCTGCAAGTCCAACTTTTATAAAATGCTTTAGTCAAGAAGAAAAAATAGTGGAGTAGTGGTGAAAGAAAGTCCTGAGCTCACTTTCCCTACAACCACAACCACCTGAGAAACACCCTTATCTGTATGGGTAATACATAATCTACAAACAAACTGAGATTTTTTTTAAAGCAGGCAATCAAATGCATAAGAGAAAAATGTCATTTTTTCAAAGATAAACCGAACATTAAATTTTGGCTGTATTATTTATTATTTAGGCTATTTTATTATTTGGCTGTATTATTTATTATTTAGTTTAATTATTTATTATTTAGGCTATTTTATTTTGCACTGTTATAGTCAAGAGACCCAAAATATTTTGCTAGTCAAAGCTACTATAGAAAGGTGTGTGATAGAATGGGACAGATGTGGAGGGTGAGGCTGTTGAAAAGAATCCAGACAATGATCTCAACATCAGCAAAGTGTGAATTCAGAAGTTCATAATACATCAAATTCTACTAATCATGATCTGTATAAGCTTTCTATGTAAGTAATGATCAGAGAACAGAAAAAATGCCTGTAAGTGGCCTTTCACTCTTCATCCAAACAGTGACAGTGATGGTAAGGTGGTCCAAGGGCCTAAAAACATCACTACCCTATTTTTAAACAACAGTCAGAAGCAGATGTCTACAGACTTAACTACAACAGAGCAGGTACAGGCAGCATCCCACCCCCACCAAACACTGTATCTTTGTTTCAGCAAAGAGATCTCCAGAGATGGATAATTTATAACCTCTAGTGGGTTCTTCTTCCATTTACTTTGCCACCCTTCCCTTGAATCCACTGACTGAATGGCTACAAAATCCTGTGGCAGAAACTCCCACATGCCTGAAAATCTGCCACAGCATGAAAAGCATTTGGAATGCTGGCCTTTGTCTGGAAAACCAAAGTACTGGCTTTTCARTCAAACAGCACCAGCAGTCAGTGAAGCTGGAGCCCGCTGGTTGTCTAATCAGACATGTGATTATCCACTGTGACATTTCAATGCCATGGACAGCTTGTGGGACAAATTCATGCAAATGGCCTAAAAGGACTAGTTAACTGAAAGGAGTGGGGGAAAATGTGATCCAAAAAAGTAAATAATTCCATAAACATCAGACCTGCTCMAACAGTGAAGACAGCATCTACTGCACTGGTTACACGTGAGTTGATTATAAGATGACATTATTTTAAACATCAATACCTGGACAACGATGATTATCTGACATTCTCAGCCTATGACTGAGGTCATAAAAACCCTTTTCTGACCTGATGAAACATTTTTCTTAACCAGGACAGACATAAGTAGACTTAYTTTGGACCAGACAACAGGAAAAATCTCATGAAAAAAATGAACAAGGAATCATGGATCACATTCACAATGCAGTCCTGTCAAATCTTATCACAGGACACTATTTCTACCACTCGTATTTTTGGTTTTTTTGAAATACAGATGCAATGGTTCAAGAATTTGCTCCCCAACTGATGTTGGGCAGATACAGTCAGTATCTTTGCAGTGGTCAAATGATTCAGTGGGAATTACTATCCAGCAGTCCTCTGAGAAATTCCAACTAGATTATCTTTATGGAGGGAAATGTTAAGCATTGTAATAAAAAAAAAAAAATCGAGTCCCGAGTAAAACATAGCTCTAGAGTATGAGTAGAGATTTAGAAAGTAATGAGAACATTCAGTCAAACTGAAGTAACCCAGCAGCAAACTTACATACWATCAGAAACATATCAAACCTCTCTTTAACTGGACTCCGTGGAAGAAGCTCTGAAGCAAAAGCCATTCTTTTTAGACACTGGTAAATATTAYACTGAAGAAAAAAAAAGTAGAAAAGTAGTACCTTATTTGCATGGACTGAACTCTAAGACCACTATAATCAATTTCTTCCTTTTGCTCAAACTCCTTCCAATCATCCTCTTCCTGAAAGAAGAGAAAAATGTAAGTTGTCACCTCCTCTAGAACCAAAGCAGAATAGAAGAACATAACTAAGATAATACAAAGAAAACTCTGAGGGTGAGGTACAGTTCTGGGAGAAACCAAACTGTGTGCCCCACTGCCAAGAGGGGAAAGGACTGCATTCCCTCATCCCCTAACACAGTGTGTCACTTGGGATGCGTCTGAGAGCTAACTTTAGCTCACTGGAACAGCTAAGAAAAGCCCCAGCAAAAAGTCATTCAGGTGAAAGAAAACTACATCTTAGCAAAACACATCAGGAAATCAAGGGACAACACAAAATGCAGAACAGGACCGTGAAGTCATGACCAGGGAAGYACAACAGCAAGACCACTCCCTTTCACTACCAGTAAGCTTTTATGACAGCTTGAATGCACACAAAGCTTTAGATTTACTTYYCCATCACCTATTTCATGACCCAAACAARAAAGAACATTTGGAGTAGCTTACAGTGGATTTATGACAAAGATTAATAATGGCACATTTTACTTTTTCACTTTCAAAACCACATTTACAGCCTTGTTTCCTGAGCGATGTTTTTATAACAGGTCAGCTTMAAAACCACAGCAATCTTAGTACACAATGCATGTGTATCTTTCAAGAGAATCACTTTAGGGTTTTAAAATGGGAGTTTGGGGAAAGAGGAACTCACCTAAGTGGAGTCAATTTTGTCCTACTGTGTCATCAGGAAATTCTGGGATTATTAATGTAGACCAAAAATGGACCAGAACAGATAAGCAGTCCTCCTATGTTCCCAGTCCCAGCTTTAAGACACACACAGCCTAATTAGTAGTTTATGTAATTCCTACCCTCTACGTGAAATGCAGTTATATTACTCCAAATAGGAAGACCTTGCGAGCAAGGTCTGCAAAAGGCACAGCCCCCTTTCCACTGAACAGCTGAGAATAAAGCTGCTTTTAGAGCCCTGTGCTGGAATATTCTACACAGTCAATCTCCAGCAGAAAAACTTTGACCTGCTTTAGAGTAACAGCAGAAGTAGGAAGTGACCTCATGTTAAGTGCACTGTCTACTGAAGTCAGTCTTCTGGAAGAGCATGAGTTTACARCTCTAATCTTTTAGATTTCTTATATCCCCATCTCCATGGAAACATTAGTTTCCAAGCTAACATACCTTTCACATTTAATGACTTTTGTTTCTATCCAAGTACAAGCTTCAGTCATAGCCAGATATTATTTTGCAAGTGAGCAGAAGTGCAGCTGAAAGATTACCACTGACCTTGATCTACTTAGAAAGCTACTGCACATGTCAAGCTCCCCAGGTTAAACATTAGGAAACAGGTATTTATTACAATTAATTTYTAAATATACAGCATTAGAGTTATTGTAACTGCTTTTAGTTTTAGTAATCAATCCAGCACAGCAAAAAAATACCCTTAAATCACTGATCCTCTACATAAGCATGAAGGAAGCAAGGTATTTAACTTCCACAGCCCCTTTCACAAGTCATCTTTGTATACTCGGGGAGTATAATGTCATAGGGATACATAAAAGTTTCATTTGTAGCACTAAGACAGGGAACAGATCCTCAGATTACTACGTACTGAAGCCTCCAAAGGAACAATACCAAGAGGCAAAAAAAGCAAACCAGAAATAAAGAAAAAAAGATGCAAAAAAATTTTTAAGTCCTATCTGTTTTGTCTACAGCAGATAAATGTGTAACAAAGGTACTCCACGTGTCAAGCTCCGCAATCTAAAAAACATCAGGAAACAGCAAGAGTATTTCTTAAAATAAGTTTAAAAGTATACAGCATTGGASCCCTTTTAAACCTTCACCACTTCTAGCTTAAATTTCATTGCTTCAGTGCTGATGTTGTGGTCGGGGGCCAAGGGCAGAGGAAGAAACAGAGCTACTAATTCAACTACGGACGTTTAAGCTTCTGCATTCTCATCGTTTCACCGTAATAAGCTACCAAAAAAAAAAAAAAAAAAAAAAAAAAA